GCATGGGTGGGGGGTGGGGGGTGGGGGAAGGCTGTGGTTAGTGTTAGGGGCCCTGGGGGTTCCCAGAAGCAGAGGGGCTGGGTTGGCCCTGTGTTAAGGGGTGTCACAAGACCTGGCCAGAGTACTGGGCCCAAGATGGGAGCTGCTGCAGAGTTGTCAACCTGAATTATGGGGGAATGGGACTGGGCCATGGCCATGAGGGCCCCCCATCCCTGGGAGACTGGGGAATGAGGAATGGGTTAGACATGCAGGCAGAGCAGGGGATGCGTGGAAGAAGCCTTGTCCAACACTTCTGGGACCCTGGGCTCCATCCCCAGCACCACAAACCAAACCAAACCGAAGGGTAGCTGGCTGTGTGGACAGGGAGGCAGCTAAGCACATAGAGACCCTGGCTGGTCCAGGCTGGGATACACTGTAGGGTAAAATGCATAGGACTTTGAAAAATTTTTAAAAAGAAACTGGGCATAGTGGCACGTGCCAGTAACCCTAGCTACTCGGAAGGTTGAGGCAGAAGGACGGCAAGTTCAAGGCTGGCCTGGGCAACAGAGCAGGACCTCATTTTACAAAAATAAAAAGTATAAAACATCTCATTAATAACTTTGATATTGATTATATGTGGAAATTAAAACTTTGATATATTGGGTTAAATAAAATATTAAGTTCATGGTATAATTTCTCAGTGTGGCTGCTAGAAAAATCTCAAACGACCCATGTGATTCATGTTATATTTCTATTGGATAGCATTGGGCTAGAAACTAAGATTTGGAGGGCAGACAGTGAACGGTATTGTTCCTGGGATTGGAGTAACTGTAGGGTGAAAAAGGCTGGGTTAACAGAGATGGGGATTAGGTAATTCAGAAACAAGGTTATCAGAGCATGAGAACCTGTCCTTGGGAGAAAGGTGCCAAATGATGGGGGAGAGGAGGCTGGTGGTGTTACCAGATGCACAGAGATCATGCTACAAGGGCTGAATGGCAGGATGTGCCCAAGGTGGGCTGGAGGAAGGGGCCGATGCAGGAGCCTCTGTGCCTGGGTGGGGGAGGGTGGCGGGTCTGGGTCAGCCCTGCACTCACCGCTTCTGCTCCCTGCAAAGAAAGAGAGCATTAATTAGTTGGTGCCACCACTTTAGGGACAGAGCACTATACCCTGCAGGGACAGCTCCCTCCTGACCCTAGCTCACCTTTCCTCTTCCAGCTTCTTCCGAAGGAGGTCCCGCCTCCAGGCAGGCAGGCTGGCCAGACGAGCTTCCTCCTCCTCCTCCTGAAACAACCACAAAACTTCAGGAGCAGCACCCAGGGGACTACAGCCCCACCCTAGGGACACACATAGGGCTTCCTGAAGAGACCTTTTGGTGCCTTTTTGTGGTGCACTTAGTCACAGCCCCCACAGGGGAGCCTCTGGTCCCCGGTACGCTAGGCAGGCCCATGTCCTGAAGGTGGCGCCAGAGAGATGGAAATGAGGGTGGGCCTTACCAGGCAGACAGAAACTAGGCAGGTGGACAGACACTGTCGCCCAGGATCTCTGAGCAGATGCAGACTTGAGACCTCATATACCTGGCCTGTTCACGGCTGCCCTGGTGCCCTGAAAAGACCTGACCCGTGTTTGCCCTTTTCCCAACAGAGTGGACAGTGGTGACTGTGGGACTGCAGCGACATCGTGGTGGAGGGTCCACACAGGCAGCTTCCAGCAAAGCATTTTATTCCTCAGGTTTTACAGGAGAGAAGGGTCTGTACACACACGTACGCACACAACACCGAGTGGGTGGTCTAGGAGGCAGCTATGGACTCCAGAGACAAGGACAGCACCACAAGGTGGGCCACGGTGCCCCCTTGAGAGGCGGCTCAGCTGGCAAATGCCCCATCTGCCTTCAGAGGCCTCAAGGCTGGAGACAGCCCAGTCTCACACACACATGCACGCAGCTCTTCCCAGGTTGGCTTTTTCCCGACCACGGCTGGCGTCGGCAGCTCCCCACAGGCACCCAGGCCTGGGTTAGGATACTTGAGGAGAAATGTTGGATTCATGGCTCAGATGTCGAAAAGCTCTGCTTCCTTCTCCTTCCAGAAGGAGAAGCTGCGGTCGATGTAGCGGCAGATGTCTTCATTGCTGAACTCCCCCATCTCAGACACCAACTCCACGGGGTCTTGTGTGGGTGCTTCGAGGGGAGGCGTGGCAGGCGGGGGCACTGGGGCCTCGGGCTGCACCATGCGCACCTCCTCTGTGTGCGCCTGGGCAGCCTCTTCACCCGGCTCCTGCTCCCTCTCCTCCTCCTCTTCCTCGTCTTCTTTCTCCTCCTCTTTGACGTCCTCCTCCTCTTCTCCCTTCCTGGCCTCTTCCTGGGCTGGTTCAGCCTCTGGGCTGTCTCCGAAGAACTGACGCCTGAGGTCCTCGAAGCCGTCGCTCCAGCCACGGCGCCCGGCCTCCACCTCCTCCACGACCACGCGGTGGAATAGACGGATGTGCTCCCACGGGTGGCTGCCCAGCCGGTCGAACATCTCGTAGCACAGCAGGTGGCGGAATTTCCGCTCCTCCGGTTTCAGGCCCATCTCCAGCAGCTGGAAGTAGCCGAGCATGAAGAGGTCGAGCGTGAGGCTGTCGTAGCGCCGGGGCGCACCGGTGTCCAGGGGCGGCAGGAAGTGCTCGGGCCAGTGCAGGCCATGCGCCAGGCCTGGACCGTGGTCTTGGCGCACGGGCACCTGCTGAAGCAGGCCCCGCCAGTGGCCCAGCAGC